ATTGCCGTGACACGGTAAACTTTCCCGTGCCACGGTGGATGCTGACGTGGCACGGGATTTTTTATTTTTTTTATTTTTTTTTTGGAAATCCACCGTGCCACAGTGGAAATTGCCGTGACATGGTAAACTTTCCTGTGCAACGATGGATGCTGACGTGGCACATGTTTTTTTTTTTTGCTGCAGGTCCATCGTGCCACGGTGGAAATTTGCCGTGACACGGTAGAGTTTCCCGTGGCACAGCAATTTTTTTTTTTTTTTTTGCAATTCCACCGCGCCACGGTGGACTGTGTCGTGACATGGTGGACAATCCCGTGTCGCGGCAACCCTCTTTTTTTTTTTTTTTTTTTTTTGCTAATTACTAAGTGATTACGGTCCATTGGCAATCGTTAGTCATAAAATAATCCACCATAGACAAAGAAAGATCGTTAAGGTTAAGATCAAAACGACCAAACATAAAACACGTAGGCACAATGATGCAAAGAATAGTTCACAACCTAAGATCAAGTTCTATGTTCGACTATGGTCAGGTTTATTTGGTGTCAAAAGGGTACCATGGTTAAGAGTTTGGACGCGTTAGCAAGGCAGCCTCCCTTGAGGGTGTATGCCAACAGGCGACTCCGCGAGTTCGTGATGAAACCGAACTCGACTCCATGGTTTGGGTGGATTTAATAACTCGGATGAACCCTTATTGTCATGAGCGTTTTTTGGTTGATAGAGCTTAAATCCCCGGGGGCTAAGACGCATGTAGAACACACACGTTTTTTCAGAAAAATCGAAGGAAGTTGACTGTGAGAAGATAAAACAAGCCACCGGACTGATTTTAGGACTGTCGTGACACGGCAGAGATTCCCGTGCCACGGTACCGCACACCGCCAAACGGTGCACTGTACCGTGACACGACAGTCAGAAAATCTAACTGGTACCCCGTTTTCCTTCATACGCAATCAAGTTATTCAATTTCTCCTACGGGACAGACCTAAATGCGACGTTAAAACGTCTATGCATATGAAAAAATTCCAAATTAATCACAGGAATATTTTTCAAGAATCTTTCAAGTCTCATCCACTCATCTTAATTAAATACCGATCACTCAAATCGTTAAATAACCAAGAATCCTCCCCAGTGGAGTCGCCAAATTGTAGGCGTCGCTCGAAGTGCACCTACGTTAGAGCATGTGTGAATATGCTTGGCACTCATAGGAAGTGGGAATTGACGTATACGATTAGGGACAAGGAAAGTAGGGAGCCGCACACAAGTTTTTAAGGAACTTGTAAACCGTTCACGGATCATAAAATGTGACAGGGTAAAGTCGTATCCCCAAATCAAAAGTAATTCCTAAATCCTCTAACTAATGTAGATAGGGAAGTAGGGTCGAATCCACAGAGAAACGGATCTTTCTATTCCTAATTAACTATTATAATCTAGACTATGAGGTAACCAATATTTATATTTGAATGATAAACTAAACTACAGAGATCAAGAATAAGGAGAAAATAATATAAAAAAGGATCCAAGGCATAGGTTCCCCAATAAATAATATTCCAGGGTAGAATATAATAATCATTCATCAATGCATATACTAATCAGATTATAAAGGGCTTTCGCTACGTATTATAATCACACAATTAATTTACCGGTATTAAATCTCATCTTTCGAATTTCGACCTAACCATTTATAAATTAACCTGCCTATTAAAACTAGACCTAAACATCAATTCTCATCTGTCGAATCTCGAATCAATATTGTCAAACTCATGCATAAAAGATAAGGCCTAATCTAGTCACAGAGCATTAAATCAATCAATAGGAAATTAATCTAGCATTGACAATTAACAACAATAAATTACCCCTTCATATTATTTATGGATCCCCATAAACCCTAGAAATAAAACTACTCACACATGATAGAAACTAAACTAATAAAGGCAATTAAAACAAACATACTCAAAACAATAATAATAAAACTAGTATGAATGAAACAAAAGCAATAATAATTAAGTTTAAATAAAAATATTCAACGAGCAACTTGAAGGAACGTAATAACTAATAAGAACGTAATAATCTTAATTCCCAGCACAAAACTTCAGAGCTAATAATCAAAGCTTAAAAATAAGAAAGAAAAAGAAAAGAAAGCTGCGTGAACTAATCCTAAAGTCAACTAATACTCAAGAAAACAATTACAAGTTTTTCTCCTAAAACTATCCTAAAAGCTCCGTAAAAGAAAACAAAGAAAAAAATCTAAAAAACTACCCCTGGTTGTTTCGAACTTCGGTTTATATAGCAAACTGCCAAACCGACTTAATGCAACAAACACTCGCCCGATCGGGCCCTTAGTCCATCCGATCGGGCCCGTCAATTTCGCCTAAGTTGGCAGCAACAAATATGCTTCTTGGGTTATAAATTGGGCTTCATACGAATTGACCCAATATCCTTTGTCTTGATATCCGGTATTGGACTTGTAATAAAATTAGTACTCTGACGAACCAAGCCTTTAATCCTCGAATCAAATTAGTTAGCTCGACTTTAAGCTTCAAATATACGGTTATAAAATACGATCCGACTCTAATGTCTTCATAGTGGCTTAATAAACTTAGAAATTATCATAAATCTGCAAATTCCTGCAAAATAATACCAAATCTACAAAAACACTAGAAAACGTATATTAGTAATAAAAATAGCTCCACAGAGCTAAAATAAGCACAAATATGACTGTGGGACGGGGAATAAAAATATATATAAAATAGACTCATCAAAATGCAACCACGATAAAGGGACAACGAAGGCAACAACGATTGACCCGTGAAGGTTACACCCCATTCATAATCCATGAGATTACTAACTTCATATGGTTCGGAACCACGAAAGGAGGATCGGGGATGATGGTATGAAGTGAGTTATGGAGTCACATTCGCCCGTATTGGCCTCTACTCGATTCTTATTGTGAAAAGTGATTCCTGCGATCTCAAAGGCATACAAACAAAATATTCAATTCGCTCCAAACTATTTTTACGCTAAATTGGTTTAATATTAATGCAACACATAATTCTAAATATCGTGATCACTTGATTAAACAACAAGATTAAAAAGGATCCTAAACCGGTTGTCCAAATTATCTTATTAGGCGAGAGTTTCAATTACATATTCCCTTTAAACATGCAATATGGTGATCATAACAATAATAGAATAAACATTAATATTGGAAGCAATTTAACCATAATTTCAACAATATAAAATCGTTAGAAAAATAATAGAAATAAAAGGAACATAATTCTTACTTTGATTCTATTTGCTTGCAACTATAAAATAATAAACGAGTTAGTAACTTCAAGGAAATAATAATAAAACAATAATTAAATTAAATTAAATTAAATAGAATTGATTTGGGGCCAAACCCTCAAACAGTTCTACCTTTCAGGCCTTGACTTAAGGTTAGAACCACGAGTAAAGTATGGATTCCTTGGATTACTTGAAGAAGGAATTTTGAAAGAAGAAGGGTAGGCTAGTGTTTAGGCTAGAGCATAGAAGAGAGAAAAATAGAGAATTAATTGATGCCCCGTACATCAGAAATGAGGGGGTATTTATAGAAAAAATGTGCTGAGGGAACACACGGAACCCTAAAATGATAAAAACCCTAAAAAAGTATACCGCGACACGGCACTGTGTACCGTGACACGGGAATTCCCACCGTTAGACGGGAAAAATTCCCGTGACGCGGTGAACAGTTGTGTGACGCGGGAAATATTTTAGGGTACGGGGAATAAAACGCGTGAAGGGTTTACGCGAAACGGACACGGAAACTCCCGTGTCACAGCAGGTTTCCCGTGTCATGGGAAATCCCACCGTTAGACGGGACAGTTTCCCGTGACACGGTGGACTATTGCCGTGACGCGGGAATTTTTGTCTGTTTTTTCGTCTAAATTCATTTTTAACCCTAATTTCGTTCAGCATTTTAAGTGCCGATTGATAATTTCGGGCCATTTCTGATTTATTATTATTTGGGCTAAAATAAGAAAATAAGTAAATAAAATAAATAAAAGGTTTGGGCCAAAATAAATAATAAAACATTAAAATAATAAAAAAAAGGTTTGGGCTGAAATTAAAAAATCTATGCTTTGACCAAACATCAAGACTGATCCATGGACTATTCAAAAAAATGAATTTAATTAAACACAATTTTTTAAAGCACTTTCGGGATTAAATACTGAACCCGACCAATAGTGGCGGTGAAAGGTTGTTCATCATCGGGTTTGGTTTTGAGGAGACATTTTTAGGTGTCTACAGTAGCTAAGACATTTTAGTTTATTTCCGAATTTAAATGTTTTCTTTCAACTATTGGTTTAAAAATAATTGCATTTTTGATGTAATGACTATTTTATTTTGCCACCAATTAGACCACTTAGTTTATTAATTATTATTTCATTTTTGCTTTGCATTTATTTTCTACGGAAAATAAGTGTAGCAGTAACACTCTCAGAGTTCAATGGTTGGATTTTGAAAGTTAAAAAGGTTACTCTTATTGTTTTAAAAAGACTCGAATTTTGGGGGTGTTACAGTTCGGGTAGGGTTGTCGGGTTGGGTCAGCTTTTGCCAGCCCTAATTATGGCCCATTCACCACTTCAAGACGAATTAGCATCCGTTAAAGAAGGCTTCATTCAGGCACGACAGTTTGGTACATCAGTTGAGATTTGTACGGACAGCATGGAAGCAGCTAAGGTCATTCAATAGCCCAAGGCATCGCCATAGGAAGTACGTCGGCTTGCCCAAGATATCCAATGTACTAGTCTTTCTCTAGTTTATTTTTGATGTAATAAAGTACAAAGGGATGTTCTTAGCCCAAAAGGCTAGGTTGGAAAAATGGGCATAATGACTTGTTCTCATTTACTGAAATGAGCCGAACAAAACTGAACTGAGATCAACCGAAGTGAGTTGAACTGAATTGTTTGTAAGAGAAGGAAGTTAGGAATTGAATTGAATCGAATCCTACTCTTGGCTTTCCTATGTTTTGCTACTTGTCAAAAAAAAAAAAAAAATATCAATTAAAATCACTATTTTACCCCTGATAGTGGACAGTCCGTCCAATATCGGGCATTGCCCGTATTATATGTGTGTGTGAATCTCCCTCTTTCCTTTTCATTTTTTATTTTTCGAGCCTTTTCATTTTTACGCTGTTCCCCTCTTCTCTCTCTCTTTGTCCTCCATTGTACCGCGTTCTCTGAATCCTCCATTGAAGCGCCTTCTTAGCTTTCTCTGCTCCATTGAAACGCCTTCTCAGGTAATTTTTTTTTCTTTTCTTTTTTAAATCTTCGTGTATCAATTTCACAATCTAGGGTTTATCGTTAATTTTAATTGTCAATTGTCAGTATGGTTAATTTAGGGTTCTTCTAAGGTGGATTATTGAACTTTGGTTATAATTACTGGGGATATGAAAGATTTAACTATCGATTTTGTTGCTAGAATTTTGCCATGTGTAATTTTACATTGATTTTCTCAACCAAGTAGAATGATTATCTGATTCTTGGAGCCTAATTTGATAATTGAGTTAAATTTGGACATTTGACGTTTGTAAATTGTAACCCTTTATTGCACGACGGAACTATGAAAAATTGGACCTTTTCTCCGCCCTCCTCGTTCCCTAACTTAGGAATGGTCTGACACTAAGAAATGTGTTAATCTTTTCAGCTATTAGACTGTGGTTGAGAATTCTGGTGTGATAAAAAGGGAATTCTTGGGCTGTTATTCTGAGTAGTTTCGGAGTTTGTGTGTGCATGCGTTGCGAGCCTATAACCTTTTGTTATTTGGTTGCAATTTGTGTTTTTCAATTATTACTAATATAAGAGTGGTTGATTGCAGTTTTCTTACAGATTACTTATTGATTGTAAAACTCTTTTAGGTATTCATGTTATGTTCAGAGCTAGTTTATGATTAGGTACTTTTGCATTATAATCTATAACTACACTTTAAGCGTTTCTGTCTTAAGTTTATTGGACTAAATTAGTTTTCGGTTTTGAAGATTGCGAATTATTTGGTATTATCAAACCTTTGGATTGTAATGGACTAGATTATCAAACAATTGCGCTTTTTTATTTATTTATTTATTTATTTATTTTTATTTTTTAAGAAAGGACAGACAGGCATTGATTATGCAATGAGTCGGTGAAAGGTTTATCAGTAATAGCTTCTGTGTCATTTGAGGGATCAGGTTGCATTTAATTAATTCATTCGATCATCACGAGGTCACGAGGGTGATGCTGATGTGCTTTTCTTGAGTAGTGTGTTAATGCTTTTGTGGCAGTGTAATGGAAGAGGTTGGGTTGAGAGTGTTGGAGCATTCTTACATGCAAGTGCCAGCCCTGTTGGCGCAGTTAAAGGATGAAGATCCTGGTGTTGCTTGTCAAGCTATTGTTAGTGGCACAAAATTCTTTTATTCTACACTTCAGGAGTTGGCTCAGCAGGTCTGCATATTTCCTTCCATCATCTCAATTATTAAATTATTAAAAAAGATAAAAGTCCCAAGTTCCCTGTTTAATATGGAGTACATATTTTTCTTCTTTGCAACTCTTTCACTTCATGATTTAGCTGTAAGGTTATTTTAAAACCTTAGATTAGTGGACTTGTACTTAAGGTTGTTTTATCACACTTTAATTAATATTTAGTAAGTTAGCAATTGCATAAGGCCGGATCATGCTTTAAGTTCTGTCTTCCTTTTCAGACTTTTTTGTCTCCTGTAATTTCTGCTACTTCTGCTTAATTTTTTTTCCTTAATTTGGTCCAGCATAACTGATTTTATCATTGCACTGTTCCCCTTATGTATCAAGTCTGGCAAAATTATTGGGTTATATGCTGTTCACAATTGTTTATCATTCATATCTTTTAGGGGTTTTCATCTCCACAACTGAGGTTTTCCTTGGGTTCTGGTGACTTTGTCAGGTAGAAATATTTGATGCTTGTATTGAATATTGCAGTTTCACCGACATGATAAAGTTGAGAGGTGGGTTGAGGAGACGTGGATGCAGATGATTGAGTTCAAGGATGCAGTATTTTCTCTTGTATTTGAGGTAATATCGCTGCATACAAACTCTTGAATAGATTACAGTCATTTAACTAGTGAGGTGGTAATTTCGATTTGTTAAACAATTCTTTATATTATTACTATTTTTTTTTTTAAATTTATAATTGCTTGATTATATACTACTGATTATATAGTATAGACTTCTGGATCTTTGTTCATTTTTGTGCTTAATTTATGCTATGTACATCAATTTTATTTTTGTACTTTACCATGTATTTTCTTAGCTTATTTGGGGGAAGTGCATTTTGTTTATCTTGCACACTACTTATTCTGATGCTATAACGGCTTTTTTGCTTTATATTTTATTTGCGCTATCATGTTTTAATCATAAAATCAGTATGTGTTATGTATGCCATCTCAAATTTTAATGTTGTAATAGGCATGTTAGTTAGTAGTGTCATTTTGATGACGTGTAGACATAGTTCAATTTTTATGCCGTTTCAGAGAATTTGTCCTTTTCCAATCTTTTTTATTTTTTATTTTTTTATTTGCATGTACTGTGTAGGCAGCTGCTGTGAGGACAAGGTTATTGGCGCTGAAATTTTTGGAAACTTGCATATTGCTATTTACACCAGATGCAGTTAATACTAATAGACTGACCTCAGGAGGTATTCTATTGGGGATCGTCTTTTTATTGGTGCTTATAGCCACCATGTTTGACTTTCACAATTGCTTTCTTAGTACTTGACTTTTTCTGAAAATGTTGGTCATTTTGGAAATTGGCTTCATCTTGTCATTATTTTGCAAGTTATCAATTTTCATTGCTTATGCCATCAATTATTATAAAAAAAAATTATGTAAAAATTTAACAGTTTTTACATAGGAAATTTTTTTAAGTATCAGCATTGAAATTTTAACCATTCTTATTTTTGTTATGAAATTATTCAGTAATATGTGATGATATTAAGAACTTTAAGAGTGTAAAGCCATTAATTATTGGCTGTTACAATCCTTTTACTGTCCAAATTGCCTTAGATGCCTTTATTTATTTATTTAAGCTGTATTTTTTTGCATAATGGCTGACAGGTAAGGAGCATAGATTCAATATCTCATGGTTGGCTAATGACCATCCAGTTCTAGATCTAGCTAAACTTGCATCAGAAGCAAATAGGCTATTCACCAGTTTATTAGATATGTTGCGATCATCCAGTAGCATTCCTGGTCCATTGACAATCACCATTGTCAATTGGTAAGCTCCATTTGTTCTATCTTTACAATTTGTTTGCTTCATATTATCATGTTGAACACTAGATGTATCTGGTCACTTCGTTTTTAAGCCTCTTTAAAATTGATTGATAAAATGAATCGAGGTAGCTTATTGGGGGAAAATTAAAATGCAAGCATGTTTTGGAATGCAGATTTCACCTATTAAAATACGATTATCAGAGTGAGTATGTGGGTCTTTGCAAAATAGGCAGGATTGCTAATCTTGTATAAACATTACATGACTATGGCATTAGCAGTATTGCACTGTTTCTGTTGATGGAAATTGAGTATTTAACGATATACTTCCTCCGTTCCACAAATATGGCAACATTACCATTTTAGGAAGTTTCATAAATATTGCAATGTTTCCCTATTTGCACATGTTTTCTCTCTTTATCTCTCCTCATCACATGTTCCTTATCTTTATTCTTCTCTATTGCTCTCTTCTTAAAATCCGTGTCCCTCCCCATGTTGCAATATTAGGGGAACGGTAAAAGTATTAGTTGTTTTTTTAATCATTTTTGTAATCCGCTGTAAGAAAGATTGAAGGGTCTCTCCCAGTGTCTGTTCCTGAATCTTGTCCAAGTAGGGAACTTGGCAAAGATACTTGGAGACTTGAAATTAAAGTTACATTTTTAGGACTAATGCATCCAGAAATATGTCTGTCCTTCTAGCTGTATGGGTAAAATATCCTTTGATGACCTTGAATAGTTTTCAGGAGCTCTTTAATATGCTTGTTTTGCAGTGTTCTTTGTGTTTTTTTTTTCTTACTTTTTTTTACTACTCTATCAGCTGCTAGATAACTCATCTGAAATCAATTTTCTTTCTATAAAGTGTGTGAAATGTTTCTGCTTTTGGTATGCTCAGTTGATGTCTTTGACGTTAAAAAAATCTTGGAAAAGTGTTGTGCTTTGTTGAATGTGGTTTTGTACAAACATCTCTTGTGCCTCTCTGCAAACTCTGCTGAAGTTTTTGTCAAGCGGGTTGAAATTGGTTTTATGCTCTAGATGTTAATTCTGTTTTTTTTTTTTTTTTTTTTTCCGTGTTTGTTGTCAAGGCCTCTTCTGTATCTTGGATTGACTCCCTTTTAGATACTTGGAACAGTTTTGATTTTTTTAGTGGATGTAGAATTTAGAGTGGTAGATCTTTTGATAGTTATCTGCTAGTCCATATTGTCTTTATGGTATTCAAGTGATTTTAACAGATGAAGTATCAAAATATGGTACTTTTATTTCTTGTTTGTCTTTGTCGTCAATATGTTTTACGTTGTGTAAGTTTGATGTAGAGTTTTAAGAGTTGGACAATGTGTAAATTTTTAATTTTTGTTCAGGACATTGCTGGCCACTTCGGCAGTTTACTTATCTTGTTTCATCAAGTTGATGTTACATGGTATTATGATGTCTTAACTCTTACTGATTTCAATAATTGTCTTCAGATTGATGAAGACATTGAATATCTGTACATGTTATGAAAACTTTGTTTCTTTTTAAAATGATTGATTCAAAGCTCAGAGCAGGTGTGGTGTAGTATGGATCAACTTCTCTTTTGATGCATTAGTGCAGCATGCTGTCCAGCATCTTTGAGTGGCGTTAATTGGCATTGGGTAATTCCTTGAAGCTGCTGCTTTAATTGGTCAGAATATCAAGATGCAGGGCTAGGCAATACTAGGCAGCACTTTCATTCAGTGTTTGGTCCTAGTTGATGTGAAAGCTGTTGACAGCAATAGAAGTTGAAATGATGTAGGAAAGAGCAGTCATTTTTTTGAGAGGAATTTGGTGGTCAAGCAGCAATAATGTTTTTAAATATTTGAAGGACCATTTTCAGGCCACTGTTATAGGCTATTCTACTGAATTTGCTTACAGCTGATAGTTTGATTTTTCTTTTTCTTTTGATGGATGTATATATTAATTTTACTGTCCATACACATTAATAACCTATAATAAATAAATATATTTTGGTTCACTTGGTATAGCACCTGTTCGCCATTGCTTTTGTATTGTGTGAATTATTGTAAGTGGTGTTTGTTAGAAGTTGGCAGAATTGAACTATGTATGTTCTTATCTTTGTACCCAGTAGTTGACAAAAAAGGGGGCTTCTATTTCTTACTATCTGAGTCTCAATTTACAAATGATTCTTCGAGTCTTGGCTTGAATATAATTTCTTAAAAACTTCAGATGTCATCAAATCTTACTTGATAAGTCTATATAAGATTCTTTTGCCAGGGAGGGGGATATAAAATATAATAAATCACACGTAGCAACAATTAGTCAACTGTTTTCACTCAATAAATATAGAACATTTAATCCTGCAAATGGTTAACATTGTTTTCTAATCGGTTACCCTATCCTGCTTTCTAAGTGAACTTCTAGAAGGTTTGCAAATAATAATATTGGTATAGGGAAGTTATGATTGTTAAGTTGATCAGTGATTAAATAAAGTTGCTCTGAACCAGTATTAGATTCTGTCACTGTACTGGCCTGGGAGTTTGTCTCAGGTTTCTGTATCCTGATGTTTAAAACCCAGTTCAGATCTGTAATTACTGACAAATGAGGATATAACAGCTTGAGTTCCTTGTTTTTATGTTTTCGTCATTACTCAAGGGATACATAAATAGAGTTTATATGCTATAAGTTACCATTGATTGAAGTGAATTTATTAAGGTACTGGTTCATGGCTTTATTTTTTGGTGATTTGTTTTTTGTAAGATGATGCAGCATGTTTTTTATTCCTGAAAAACTTGAGCAAAGAAAGCTAGGAAGAGTACACTTATTTTCAAGCTTAGAGTTTAATCATTTTTAACATGCCATTAAGTTATCTGATAGACCAATGCTTTTTTCCTGTAGCCGAATTTGAGGAGCATACCCAGGGTTTACTTTACCATATTCCAAATTCGATGGTTTCATTAAAGCCCCTAGTGGTCAGCATTTGGTAGACTATTAATGGTAGTAAACCTGTGGAAAGCAGGATGTGTATGTTTGCGTCTAAAATACATGGTTCAAACTTCATAGGTAGTGATAATTTTAGTTTAAGGGGTTATGTTTGACTAATGGCCTCTTTTGACCTTAGAGAGCTAACTAGTATTTGTGTGTGTGCTCAGGCTCATACGTGAAGCACCATAGTTGCTCATCTGATCTACATGTATCCCTGAGAGAATTGATCTTTGCACATAGTCTTGGGGATTGGATTTATCATTTTTATTTGTTTACATGTCTCCTGTATTGGTTGCATTTCTGATCTCTAGATTTTCGTATTACATTTTTCTGTCTTTTGCATCAAAACAATTCTAATCTACTTGATCCTGTTAGCCGTTAGGTGTATGTATATCGTTTTACCAGCTAAAAATGATGTTAAGGCCTCCATATCTTGGTAAGGGTGTTTATACCTGATCCTTTGTGCTTTTCTGTAAACAATCTTTTATCCACAAAATAGGAGAAAGGCAACTTAGCTTTAGCCGTGCTCTTTGAAATACTTAATCTTATTTGGGAATAGTTTTTTGTTAAGGTACTTGCAGCAGCATTATTTAATTATTTAAGGTGCTAGCATTGAATAGAGTGGTAGTTGAAAGTAACTTAGTAATTTGGTCCTGGTGCAATGATGTCCAGACCTAAGAGAGTATTGGTTCATCTGTACATGCTTCAGGTAGATAAGATGATGGCTCTGTATTATGGCTAGAATTGGTATCTCTTTTTCTTCCCTATATTCACAAATAGAAGCAGAAAAAGAAATGCGCACAAATGCTCAATACAAGCCAGATGTATTTGTCTGGAGGATATGAGATGGGTTTGTGAACATTTTATTGCAGTTTGACAAAGGTGGTGTATCTGAATTAAATTGTGTGTAGTGGGGAGCCTTGTGGCTTGCTGCAGCGATTTGTTTGTGTGTAGGTATTTGGGGTTCTCTGCTCTTTATGCTGTGCAGGAAAGCTGGTGAATGTGTCTATTTATGTAACTCTGTTTTTTTTTGTAGCAGTTACAAGTTGAGTTCCCTGATGGCTATTGTTGATTTATGTTTGAAGCATATGCAATGAATTTAGTTGGAAATGAATACTACGATTAACAAAGTTGGCAATTTGGCTTTTCTGTCTTGTAAATTTTATAGATTAATTAAGACTGAAGAGTGGGAGACAGGGTCATGGCTTATAAACTGGTGTATTTATAACTGATTTTTTTAGTCAATGTTACCACTTTGGTAGCTTTCACCTTAAATACTATAAGATGCTTGTTCCCTGGGTCAATTTTTGTTTTCGTGTGAACTGGGAGTCCTTGCAAAGTTATGTTTGTTGCCTGGATAACAAGTTTTATAATATTGGATGCTTGTTACCTAAATCCATGATCTCATTTCTGCTTTATATTTCTTGATTCATGTTCCATACGCCATTGATTTTCTGCCATTCCTTGGAACCTTTGAAGAATTCCAAGTAGAATTTCCTTTGACTTTCTCTTTTACTCATTACATTTTATCTGGAATTTTCTGCTTCCTTGTTTTATCAAAATTTTATTGATATACACATTATTAAAAGAAATATTGCTCATACATCTGTACAATTGATTTCTCTGCTAGTCTTGATAGGTTAAGACAAGGCTTTGTTTGCTATCATGAACACTGCAAACCTTCTAATTTTCTAGTTAACTGGATACATGCTGGTTGGTCATCTCTGCAGAATTCCACATGCTGTATTCTATATTAATTATAGAGGCTGTACTACTATTCGGTTGATTTTTCATATTCATGTAGTTGGCGGAAGGGACTATTTTTCATTGTTTATAGATCCTCATTGATTTGGGAAGTTGTTTGGTTTTTGTATGTGTAAAAATTGTGGTTATGATTTTAAGCTGGTTAGTGCATAATCTATTTGGTATTTTTGTTGAAATTGAGCAATATTTCCTGCTTTTTCCTGGTGTTTCCACTGGTGTACTTTTTGGGTTTGGGTTTAGCTGTTATAAATCATGATTGGATCGTAGTTTTTGATTTAGCGATTTCCTCTCTCTGTTTTAATTAACAAAGTATTCTTTTTTTATTATTTTAAAATTATATGAACATCCAACTAAAGAACTCACAAAAAGGAGAACAGAGTATCCTCAGAGCCCCCCAAACACATATTATAAGTTATTTCGGTTCCTTTCCCTCTTTCTTGAAAGTTGAAACAGAGTTTTTAAATCATTCCAGTTATTAAACACTGTTATTTCTTTGTTTGGTTTTGGTAGAATTATCTTATTTTTCAGTGTTTTATGAGTATCATCTTGCTATCTTGTTTCAGTGGTTAAGATTCCCCATTATTATTATTTTGTTTGTCGCCATCCTTTTTTGGTGAGCTATTTGCTTGTGGTCGTGATGAAGTGGTTCTTAATCTGTATTTGTATGTAAGACTCCTCAATCTTTTTCTTGTATCAGTATTTCCTGATCATCATTCGAAAAAGAAAGAATCTCCATCTAATTCCTTAGTGTTCCTGTTCTTTCGACCAGATTCTCCATCTAATTCTAGGTCAATTTGTTCATCTCTAATCATAGATTATCTCAATTGCAGTTTGGCTTCTATTGCAAGAAAGAGAACAGAGCACTATGGTCACATTTTATCTGCACTTCTTGACTTCCATTCAAAATCTGAAACCAGATCAGGTCATGCTGCTAGTCTACAGTATTCTGTAAGAAGCGCCTTATTGGGCTTCTTGAGATGTACTCATCCAGTTTTCATTGAGGTAATCATTATTTATTGTATGCTTGTAGGAAATTACTTGTTAATAGATACTCCTGGCATTTTCAAATTGTTTCTTGCATCTGGGGATCTCACAATTCAAAGTCATTTTCATCATTGCTCATGACTCATGAGTCAAGCTGCAGATCATTTTTTATTATTTTAATAAATTTGACTTTTTATTTTATTTTATTTTGAAAACAATATATTTGACTGACTCATTAGCACTCTGAATGAAAAGTAATCACATCCTGTTATAAATTTCATTGGCTCACATTCGCAATCATCTTCAGGAGCCTAAGGTTATTAGTCATGACACACTTCATTTGCTGTTTCTCTTCCCCTCCCAAAGTTCAAAGGCGCACTTCTCCATTTCCCCTAAACTCTTTTTGGGGTGTTTTTGATCCCTTTCTCTTCGGAGGAGGTCTAATGACTGGAAAATTAGATTCAGGTCACTGAGATCTTGCATAGGTTGCATATGGTAGGTGTAAATGAATTTTGTTTAGCCCTAAATAATAAGTGATTAAGTGGTTAATGAAGTCCCTTGGCAAGCTTAAGCATCTAATTGCTGAGAACTCTGAAGGGTATTCTTGCTTTTATATGGTTGTGAATAACATAATCCCCCGACGAAGGGTTTGTGGTTTCAAATTGTGCGATGAGCTGATTAGTATCTAAAGTAGAAAAGGAAGATAGGAGTAAGTAGGTGAGAAGTAAGGAATTTGACAAAAAAGATATCAGAAAAGACATGCTTTTACGAATAAACGCAATTGGAGGGTGAGGAGGCCGATGGCTATTTTGGTTTTACAAAAATTAGATGTTGAGGGATTTTTGGTAGGATGAGCAAGGCTTAGGGTTGCCTGTTAAATCAAAAAGAAAATAGGTTTAACTAACCTAACAATAGTTGTTTTCTGTAATTCATTAATAGGTCATTTGGTATGCAGAAATAGGAATTGGGGCACTGAAGGTGGAAAATGTGCTCGGAATTCATAAAAATATTGCAAATGCATTGTTTGGTACATTGATGGGAATATGGTGGCAATATATTTCAATTTATTAAATTGTCCTCACCTACTCCTTTCCTCCTTGCTTCTCATAAATGGGAATATAGTTTATTTATACCTTTCTCAATTTCATCTCCAATTACTATCACTCTCCCTAGACATTTCCCATTCCCACCTTACAAACATTGGAGAATGGAACAAGTTGGGAAATATTTTTCCATTTGCCAACTCATTTTCCATCAAACCCTGTAAGGGTAATGGACTAATGGGTGAAAGTTATTATACCTCAAGGGTTATTGTGAAAGTTAATATAACTCAATGCTATATGGTGTATTTACAAATGATTGGGGTTTTGTTCTTAACCCTTGAAGGTATATGATTAAATTGTATTGCTTGTGAACTATTATACCTGTGAGCATGTGCACATATCTGTCTCTGTGCATCTGTGTTTATTCTGGTGCTTATGCGCGATTTATGTAATCTGCATCTGTCTGATAAGGTGGTAAATTTTCTAGTCCAGGGACAGATTAGTTCAAGAATTGCGCTCAATGAATGCTGGTGATGCTGTTGATCAAGTTCTTCGACAAGTTGACAAACTAATGAGAAATAATGAGCGTTCTTCTCGAGAAGCCCGGATGGTTAAGGTATTGCTCTCTTCTCCTCTCTGAAGTATGATAGGAGTTGATAAAGATATTGATGTTTTTTTTTCCTTTTTTCTCTTTTCCGTATAGAGTAAAGATGATATTTTCTCTTGCTTGAACATATGCCATTTTATACTGTACGGGCATGAATTTAAGGATTGCACCAAAATATATGGATCTTTCCCGATTAGTGCTTATTCAAGTCTTTTTTTGAGAGCTACTCCCCCCAAGGTTTTTATTTTTTATTTTTTTTTTAAATGCAAACCTTCCTGAAATGGAAATATACTACACTGTTTCATTATCGCTGTCTCCTCACATGGTTCCCATTCTTACCCCACTAACACTTTTTTTAATAATTCTCTACTCTCACGTCCATTACCTGTACATAAACTATTCAACCACTGTCTCTCTTTATTTTTTATTTTATTTTTAATCTTTAATATCATGAATTCCCCAACAAACCCCACTTACACTATATTTTAACAATTTTAACGCATAAACTTCACGCAGGTCAAAGTTAGTATATATTATCCAGCATGAATTGTTTTTGTAGGTAGTATTGTGGGACTAATCAAGGCATTGATGCATTGTAATAATTTGGAGTTTTATGTGACTGATTTTAGGCTACAACTGCCACAAACCATTTGCTTTGCTCACAAAATTACTTTTGCAATTATATCCGAATTTCAAATCTTGAATGTGGACTTGCTCTCTCTCTCTCTCTCTCTCTCTCACTTCAACAGTATATATTTAAGTCATGTGCTTGTTCCTTTTTACAAGAGCAACAAGTCTTACAGGTTCAGCAAGTGTTTTAGCTTTGGTCAGATGTTAACCAACTGTAATTATAATTACCAAACCTTAAAAAGAAGAGCAAATGTATGTGTGGTATAGAATTTGTTGTACGAATTGACAAGATGTGTGTTGGAATTTGCACGGAGTTTCTGACTTTTTTTTTTGGCCTTGATTGTTCTCTGTACTAGAACTTTGATAGTGACGCTGCACAATTTTCAGTACTTCAAAAACTATTTTCAACCTCTTTTTAAAACTAGAGTACTCCCTCCGTTTCTTTTTACTCGCAACAAACTAGTAGTTTGCAGACTCCTAGGCAAAAGATGGTAAGTGTAATTAACAAAAAATAAGGGCATGTGTTTAATTAATACAACCTTAAAAAAAAAAAAATTTCAATTATAACCACCTATCACCAGCAGCACCACCATACCACCACCACCACCTCCACCTATCACCACCGCTAGTTCGACCCAGCACGAAGACCGCCTACAACCGAGAAACCACCGCCTACAACCCCGAAACCACCACCTACAACCTCGAAACCCACAGCCCTTGAACCCAGAACCACCACCCACAACCCGCGAACCCCCAAACCCGAAACCCACATCCCACAACCACGAATCCACAACCACGAAACCACCGCCTACAACCCCGAAACCCGAAACCCACATCCCAGGAACCCAGAACCACCACCCACAACTCCGAAACCACCACCTACAACCCGAAACCCACAACCCTCGAACCCAGAACCACCGCCCACAACCCGCGAACCATGAAACCCAAATCCCACAACCACGAACCACGAACCACAAACCACGAATCCACAACCACGAAACCACCGCCTACAACCCCGAAACCCGAAACCCACATCCCACGAACCCAGAACCACCACCCACAACCCCGAAACCACCACCTACAACCCCGAAATCCACAACCCTTGGACCTAGAACCACCACCCACAACCCACGAACCCAGAACCACCACCCACAACCACGAAACCACCGCCTACAACCCCGAAACCTGAAACCCACATCCCACGAACCCAAAACCACCACCCACAACCCCGAAACCACCACCTACAACCCCGAAATCCACAACCCTCGGACCCAGAACCACCACCCACAACCCGCGAACCCCCAAACCCGAAACCCACATCCCTCGAACCCAGATCCACCACCCACCACGCCGAAACCCACCACCCACAACCCCAAAACCCATAAGGCCACAACCCACGAACCCACAATCCCAAAAACCGCAACCACGAACTCGAACCCAAAACCCAAAAATCAGAAACCCACAACTCTCTATCATCAATTAAAGCTTTAATTGGTCAAATTTAACCATCAAAACTCTAGATCTAGAGTTTTCATGGTTAAATGTGACCATAAAATCTTCAAATTTAAGCTTTAGAAACGGCAAGAAGAGGAGAGAGAGAGTATATACGACTTCCGGCGAGTCGGCTAGTCGGCGAAAAACAGCAACAGGACACGGCAGTGGTTGCGGTGGTGATCGGGGGAGATGAACAAAGAGAGAAATTTTTGGTAAATAGAGTGGAGATCCGGTGGTAGAAGTGGTGGTGGTGGTGGTTGCCAATTAAGGTGATGATGTAATTAGATGGAAGGAGAATGATTTTGGTAGAAATGCTTAAGTTAAAAAGAAAAAATTAGTAGTTTAATTAGGGGTTTTAGAAAAAAAAGTAAGGATAATGTTGTAAAATCACACAAAAAAACTTACCATAAAAGGAAATAAATAAGTTTGTTGCAAGTAATGTGTAACGGCCATTTATAGTATTTGTTGCGAGTAAAAAGAAACGGAGGGAGTATATTATTAGTATAATTGTTTAACTGCATGTAGCTTTTTCATTATCAGGAAGGCAGAATGATGGCATTTTTGTCAGAGGGATCTGTTCTATTAATATGTTATCAATGCTGGACATTTCATATTGTAATTTGTTGGTTGCTTTTTGTGTGTGTGTGTGTGTGTGTGTGTGTGCTGATAATGACTGTAGAAATCAATATTTTGACTTTGATTCATGTGTACTAATCAACCCATGATATCTGATGTTTAGGAAGAACAGTCATCAACCCAGCTTCCGCTTTCAGGGGATCCAATAAAGAGGAAGCTTTTGCCTGTGGACAATGAGGAGCGTGATAATGATGTTGAAATGCCTTCAAAACGTTTGCGTTACACTTCTAATGGAAGATCTCCTGATCTTGTACAGATTCATGGGTCTGCTGATGACAATCCTGTTATTAATGGGGTTCCTTCTGAAGCTCCCATGGTGGATAATGATGTGAACCCTGTTGAACAAATGATTACTGTCATTGCTGCATTGTTGGCAGAAGGCGAAAGGGCTGCCGAGTCTCTTGAACTTTTAATATCTCAAATTCATCCTGATCTGTTAGCTGATATTGTCATAACCAATATGAAGCATTTGCCGAAGACCGCACCTTTACCAAAGCAGGGGGCCCTTTCCTCCAATGCACAAAATATTTCTGCTGTGAGTGCTGCACAAATTACTGATAGTACATCATTGCCTGTCCTTCCACCACTTTCTGCACAACAAGGCTCCATTCCTGCAGCAGTTACATTTAGCACACCTCCTCCTGATTACTCTGGCTCTGCCACTCTCCAAGTGGATTCTAGACGTGATCCAAGAAGGGTAAATTTTGTTCTTTCCTTCCATTTCCAAATAATTGACTTTTTAAGGTTTTGCACAAAAATTAAGTTGGCACTTATTGCATAGGTATCTTGAACTATAAATTATGCTTGGTACTTAAAATCTTAAATTGACAAATTAGAGTGATTGGTTATTTTAAATGATAAATAATGTGGTATTGAAGTGGTTTAAGTGGTCAGATAATGTGGAATGGAGAGATTAGCTACTACCTTGCCTTTTGCTGGTCATGTTTCAATCATATACTACCTCCGTTAACATTTACATGCAACTTTGGAATATTTTATGTCTCTCAAATAATACCCCAAAGTTGCAAGTAAATGTTAACGGAGGTAGTATATGTATATGCCTTTTGCTGGTCATGTTTCAATATGGGAGCCTTTATGTTACTTTCTGTAAGCTTAGTGGGCTGTGCTGATTTCAGGATCCCAGACGCTTGGATCCCAGGCGAGTTGCAGTGCCTTCTGAAGCTCCATTGCTTCCTCTTGCAGAGGAAGCTACACATGTCTCATCTATATTGGAAGGTCCTGCTTTTGTTAATCGAACCACTTCACTAACTTCGGCACCAATCACCGAACACATCTCTTCGCATTTTGTGCCTGATGCTGAAGTTGATGTGAAAAGTTCAACCCTTCTGGTTCCTGAGAACGAAGTAATGCCAAAAGAAGAGGAAGCAGATGAATCCAGGGAGATATTACCATCTTCAGATGTTAATGTGCTTGTTAATCGTGCACTCTCTCCTGATCATGCGGTCAATGAGAGCCCCATCACTCTGACATCTTTTAAAATAGAACCAACCGATGCTGCATGTACTTCATATATTCAAGAATCTGATGAAGATTCTCCTCCCGTTTCAAACACATCTGCATGTGAAGAAACTTGCGAAGACTTGCCCGAAGTTCCATCTTATGTTTATTTAACAGAAAAACAGAGACAAACAATAAAGAAACTGGCCGTGGAACAGATTGTCAAATCATACAAACAATTAAAAGACCAAGAATATTGCAGGACTAGGAATTCACTAATTGCTCGATTGGTCTCTTGGGTATGGAGACTTCCCATTTAGTTTTTTTGGCCGCTGTTTATGGAATGGTTTTCTATGTCTGTTAGTGCTTTTATGTGTTTTAAGCTGATGCATTTGCTTTGCTGGGATATGGGTTTAAATGTGCTCTTGAGCTTGACTACCTCTGAGCTTATTTTGAGCTCATTTAAAGACATCTCTGTGTTTAATTTAAAATTCTTGAAAGTGAACTTGATTAGTCAGTATCAACTTGACTCTCCTGCTTGATCATATTTAATCTTTATTGGAAGAACTTAATATCTGAGATGGAGAGAATCGAACTTGATTAGTCAGTATCAGAGTGACTCTTCTGCTTGAACATTTTTTATTTTTCTTGGAAAAACTTAATATTTGAGATGGAGAGCTAAGCAATGCCTTTTGTGGAGTATATAATATGTGTGATATACTTGAATCGTTGGCACACAGAATATATTTGTTGTATATTTGAAACTGCAGATCTAGTGCTTTTCAGGACAAAATGACCTGCATTATATTACGAGTTGACAGAGATTATCCAGAATTAAACAATGAACCTAATCTGTAACTAGCATTTCCCTTCAAGTTCGCTCGTATAACTAAAGAGTTGAAATATATCCAATAGAAAAATATTACTTAGGTTCCTTATTACTGTTGGGAGTTAACCTCTGTAATCATATGACTGATTGGGATACTTTCTCATCCTAGGAAGGTACTTGAGCCTTTTTAACATTATCACCTTATCTGCAATAAAATTGTTTGATACATTGTTTGATTTGGAATACATATCTCGTGATGCATTTGGTTGTGAAATTGTTTACTAACTTGCTTTCTTGAGCCTATTAATTCATTGAATTAAATGGTAAAAACAGATTTACTTTACTATGGCAGGGAAAATTAGTATAGTTTATTTGGTTGTAGATAAACAATTCAAGGGGGTGTGTGGTTAAAGCTTTAGGTTTTTTGCCCTATTTTTCAAAGAGCTACCTTAAAGAGATTGAGAATAAAGATTCCATGATCATTAGAGAGCTAGGGGTTAGTGCAATATGGAGGGGAATGATGATTATCTTGTACAAATTTAGTGCTAGAGTTAAAAGCTTCCTAGGAATCGTCTGCATTACTGTCTATTTTAGAACGTGGGTAGAATACTTCCATCTTGTATTCATTTGAGGTTAGGAATTAGGTTTTGTTCTTTTCACTTGAAAGTTGAAATAAGGTATTGTATGAATTTATCAAGGTTAATTCTGGTCTGATTGAACTTTAACTGTAATTTGACGCTGATTTGTGTGAGGGAAATCATTATCAATTTGGGTCTTGCTCTATTCTTCTCTATAATAAGAAGATTGCGTGGTCTAGTATGTTTCTAGTCTGATTCAACAAGAATATATAATTTGTTTCTGAAATAAGGTTAGGAGATTAAAGCCTTATTTACTGGTGTTAGGGTTGTGATTTAGAAATATAATTCTCACTTGGGATTAAAATTACGGATAGTAGGGCAATCTTAGATGCTACCCTTGTGGCAAGTAAGGTCTTTAAGTTTGTCTGATGTCATTTCAGGTAGGATTTGTAGATTTATGAAAGAGTGGACAGGAATCTTTATGCTTAGCTGTAGTGGAACTGTGGAAGGGCTTTGGTCCTAGGAGAAGGAGATGGGACGCCTTGGTCACCCTAAGAGGTGATTTAGGCCCTCATGATGTTGATAAATGAATAATGATTAACTCGCTTTCCTTTTGTTTGGTCTGGTATTAGGTAGAGAATTTTTTTCTTGGAAATTTTTTGGGTCTCCATGTCTTTAATCATCATCCCCTGGCTCATATTTCTTAATCCTCCATCCATATTTGACACTTATTTACCTTTTCTTGGTTAATCATGCTTCTATATTAATCTTAGTGTTATGAATGCTGGTATTCCTTCTATTTTACCTCTATTTTGGGAAGTATCCTCGATGTTTGGAGTCAGGAAATCTTTCAAATCTTTTGGGTGTTTGCAATCTGTTTCCTTACAGAAATCTCTGACTCCAGATTGTAGTTTTTTTATGGTAAATTCTTGTTGTATCTCCCCCACGTAAGACTTTGGGCCTTTTTATTGCAAAACTATATTTTCTTCCTGGAAGGATAATGCTCCACATAGAGTCAGACTGACACCGCAATGAAGTGCTGTAGCCTAATTTGTATACTTAATGTCTTTTAAGTGGTGAGATGGAGAACTCATTTGTTTATTTTATTTTAAATGGAGATGACCATTACTACTTGCAGTGCAAGCTTGCTTCTACATATGGTAGCAGCTCTTGGAAACTTAGTGTTGAAATGGTTTATTCAGTAACTGTGTGCAGGTTTCCTGTGTAAACTTGCTGGCCATTTTATGGGTATTATGATTGGAAAAGATAGATAGGATTTTTTAGAATTAGGTGTAATGTGTCTAGCCAATTTACCTAGTGAGAGATTCAGGTATTCTTTCTAGGCTTTCCATAGAATGTCCCTATGAGATGTACAATGTATTTAAAACCTCTTTTTCGTAATTTTCATAAAATTGAGTATTTGGTGTCTTCTCTCCATGTCTAAAAATTATGTACATCAATATTTGCATATGGTTTATAAAAAGAAAATAGACTATGTAGGTCATCAAGGGTCACTGACCTCTCAAGATTTCTTTATCACATATTCAAGATTGTCCTATGCAGTTCTCAAGCTGAGTTAAAGACTGAGTTGACTTAGAATAACAGCAAGTTGTCTTAGCTTGTTTACAAGCTTAATTAAATGTACTGTTGGGACTTGATATATGTATCTACTGCTTTATCAATTTATTGACAGGTTTGAAAAAGTTGAGTGATGAAGTGTGCTTTGATAGGAAAGCTGTACGCTCTAAAAGTTAGTGAGTTCTATGAATGTTTGGATAATTGACATAGAAGAATCCTTTATTGCATCAAATATTAGAGGATAGGTAGCTCTCCCTCGTATTTACCGTGCAATTCTAGTTGAGGATGCTTTTAGGATATTTTCGTCCAAATTTGAGTATGGTCTGGATGATAGACTGCAATGATGGAAAAGTTTGTGGTTTTGGTGTTTCTTTTTAAGGTACTTGGGATTGGTTTTGAGTTTTTGATCAGCTCCACTTGCTGAAGGCATTAGGATGCTATTTTTCTGCCGAATCTTCTCTGGCTCTTAGTTTGTTATGCCTTTATGAAGTCTTGATGCTGATATAAGTACATCAAATTTGTCTCTTAGTCTTGTCAAAAACTATATGATGAAACCGTTGGAAATCATGGGTCATGGACCTGATGCTTTATAGACATTATAGTGTGGTCTATATCAAGATCATACTGCAGAAATCTTATCAAAGTTAGTTCAAGGAGATTTTATCTAATTTACTGATACTTTTGCACATAAACATTGTTAGTTGGTTGCTATGCAAAAACCAATTTAAGCTTGTATACTTTGATCTAAGTACTGATAAGAGAAAGTAAGCAGAAGGTGGGGGTCTGGGGTAAGTGCATTCTGTTGCCTGACTAGAAAGTTATCACTTTGTCAAAAAAATTCTGTTATTGTACTTTTTATTTTTAAAATTTCATGGGGTGATATTTATAAATAGAACTTTTTCAAATAAATATAAAACTTAAGTTCATATTTCATGTTTTTAACAGATGGAAGCTGATGACCTTGTGATAGTGATGGTGCAACAAGACATTGTGTTGGATTACAAAGATCAGCAGGTATGAGGCTCTTGGATTAAACTCCCTTCTTTCTTGGGTCCTTTTATGCATTTATTTCATGTCTGCTGCCTTCTTCTTCTTGTTATATTAGTATTTTTATTATTTATTCAACTCGTGTTTTGCAGTTAATATCTTCTCAAACCTTTATGTGTTTTACTCACATGTTTTTCCTCTTTTTTTTTGTCCCCTTCACTACTCTTGTAAACTCTCTTGAATTTATCATTGTATTCTTTGTTTCTCACTTTTCACACTTATTCCTTCTTTTCCCCCAAATTTTATTCATTCTATAATCTTGCTATGCTTTTTTTTTTTTTTTTCTTTTATGGACGGTTCCTTATGACGATTCATGTTAGCCGACCCCAAATCATTTTGAGACTTATGCTTTGTTGTTGGTGTTGTTGTTGCCCTCTTCTTCTTGTGGCCCAGAATCAGGAATAGGCTAAAGGGGGTTGGGTTGGTGGCTTGGATTGAGGCTGTTTACATTAGGACCTGGCCCGTTGAAAACTTGAAACCATTATGGGTTGTAGTTTTTTGGAGTGGGGATTTTATTTGACATTTTGTTCAGCGGTTAATTCGAATGAATTGGTGTGATATGTCAATGAACAATGCCAGTATCACTGGTTGTCTTATTTGGGAATGGTAGAGAAGAATATATAAAGATAGGAGAGCGCAAGTTGAATTTATGTGTTTCATTTGCAACTTAAATTGAAATTGGGGTTGGGAAAGATATGGGGTTGAAGCTGAAACCTATGTTTTCTAGGGACTCGAAATGATAATTTTATCGTGAAGCGTGAAATGACATGGGTTATATAGGATTTGAAGCAGGAGTCATAGGAATCTGTTGACATCCTTTATAAATTTATGTCAACCACTACTAATTAAGTGATGGTTAACACTAACAAATATTAAGGACCTCGTTATTAGCGTGATCTACCTCTTAGAAAGTGGATAGGGATGCCCTGGATGATGATGTGGGATGACTCATCATTACCCTGAAAATTTATTCCACAGGTTTAAGGTAGGGCATGGTAAGCAAATACATGTTTAAGATGCTAGGATAGTGGAGAATTTTTGTTGCCATTATCCATGTCTGTTTTTGCTTCTATACTAGATATAATACTCCTGCTCCCCACCTTCTGTCAGATAGATAACTGGAATTTACTTCAATCTGTGACCTCTTGGTTATTTAACCAAAGGATGGGAAATATTTTAGATTGTTGATGGGAGATTTTTAGGGGATTTTTCTTATATATCCTATATTGGTTGAATAACACCTCTAAATATCCTTCTTTCCCGTAGCGAACTTCATTTTGAAGATGAAGGGCCGCTCATGATAAGGGATTTTGTTTGTATGTTAGCTTTAGGGTGGATGGATGCAAATGGTGTGCTCCAGATATAGAGCAGGATAACTATCTCACTTGACATTTGCTTGCCTTTGTTGACCTAATAATGAGTCTTGCTCATATATTTCCCTTCATTGTGATTTGTGCTTCTTTGTCACAAAAGGTTTATTGATCAGCACTTTTCTGCCAGGGACATGACCTAGTGATGCATATCTTATACCATCTCCATGGTCTGATAACTACAGAAGGTGAACAATCTCCTGGTGCTGCTGACTTGTATGAGAAATTCCTTCTTGGAGTTGTAAGGATTCATACATTATAATATGATATATCTTATCTAATCTGTTTCTCTCTTCAAGATTAAAATGTACTTATTCTTTGTTTCTGTAGGCAAAATCTTTGCTGGATACTCTGCCTGCTTCAGACAAGTCTTTTAGCAGACTGCTTGGTGAAGCTCCAATGTTGACAGATTCTATAATGAGACTCCTGGAGAATCTCTGCTGTCCTGATGGGTCAGACATGCGTGGAAAAGATGTTCGAGACGATCGTGTCACTCAAGGTCTTGGAGCTGTCTGGAGCCTGATTTTGGGACGTCCACTAAATCGATTGGCCTGTTTGAGTATTGCTCTCAAGGTAATATGGCTGTGAAATTTTGTAGCTTGCATCATATGATTATGTTCAGTCATATCTCTATTATATGAGCCAACTTTTTATTCATTTGGATGTCCACCAAATTACCCTACCTTTTATTCTCTCTTATATTATGCTGTTTCAAATCTAATGTGATATTGTGATATGAGTTGTTTATAGCTTTTAAAATTTTATGCACGCATATCGTGCATATAAATTTAGTGAACCTGTAACAAAGAAAGCCTCTTCTATTAGTCAGTGGTTTTATAAGTCAAGTGACTACTGTACCTTTTTTTTTTTTTGTATTTTGAATTTTTTTTTTTTTTTTAAAGAAGACAATTGACAGTCATTTGATTTTAATTTGACATATGAAACAAAATAAACACACTATCCTCATACTAAGAGTGGCATGGATGGTGCCTTGGAACTTTATTTTTCTGTACTAATCCATTATGATTTTTTTAGTAGTCTTGTTTCCTTTCTCATCCATGATCTTTATGATGTTGGTAATGGAATTGTCATATGGTTTCCAAACTCTTTTTTAAGAAAGGAACCTATCTCTGTCAGTGTCCCTTTTACCTATCTTCTTTGCATAATATCCCCTTTTCTGATCTTAGGATTGATACCTTAGGTTGTTGTTGGACTTTCCACATCGAAGAACATCCTCTTCAAAGGAGGATAAGTGCTCAATAATTTGTTGCTTAGGGTCTTTTTAATCAGATCAGCTCATAAACAACTTGTATCTGCTTCCTTTTCTTCTGGTTTTCTTTTTAAATTGAAGTTTCTGCAGTAATGTTCTCTGAATTGCAGAGGGTAGAATTGACATTGTCTGCGGTTCAGGTTCATAAATTAAACGAAGTTCTTTCGTCACCTAATATGGATCATGTGGTAAAACAAGGGCAGACTTGGAGGCATTTGTTCTAGTGATTTGAAGTGTGTGTGATTTTGAGGGGAAAGTTTGGTCTTGGCTGGCTACTTGAACGGAGAAGTCCAATTTGTTTAAGGGATACATGATTATGACTTTATGAGTTCTCTGATACATTGCTTGTTACCCCTAGTGGTTTCTTTGCTTCTGAGGAAACGACCCTATATTATTACTTTATGAGCCTGGGCGATGCCTTGGGTTATAATATGGATAACTATAATCATACCCTAAACTAATTATAATATGGGTTATCATGAAATTAGTTTTTGGTACTTGAGGTTTTTTTTTTTCTTGTGCAATCTACTTAATTTTAATGTTTTGCATATTGTTGATGCAGTGTGCGGTACATTCAGAGGATGATACTCGCGCTAAGGCCATCCGTCTGGTATGTCTTCTATTATTTGGGTTCTTGCTAATATGACTTGTGCGTGGTATTGATTATTTTCATTAATAATGTAATTAGTTAGCTAGCAAGGTTGTCACATTTCCAGATTTTATTAGATCAGTGGATATGCTCTTCTCACCCTCTTATATAAAGTTCCAGTTTATCAAGTGTAGATGCTAATGAGTTGTGGGTTTATTTCTCTTGATGGACTGTCTTGCTCAAAATCTTCTGAATTTCTGATTGAGTTTTTGCAATGAATTTCACAGTAGTCAATTGAATTCCCTCAGTAAGGCTCCGACCTACTTTAATAAGAATCCATCCTGATGAAAAGATGTTATAGGGAACTCTTCTTTGAAAATGGGTATCCTTACTTCAAGAATACTTTACAATTTTGATAAGTACTTTGCGTTGCTGATCAATCTCTAGAGAATGCTTAGAGCAAAGATAAGGTCTACTAAGTTAAATTTTAACTATAGATTTGTATGCAGGATAATTTTAGATTAGGGCTAATAATTTTAGTTTAGATAAGCTTTGTACAGGCAGAGGTTTAAAGACTGAAAAAAAAAAAGTTAGAGAATAGCCAAAGGTTCCCTAGCCAACTTGGCTGCAACAGCTCCTAAAGAAAAACTAATCTCGGCCTAAGTGGACTGCTAACTAGTGCTCTCTTTGATTTGTCAATTTCCATTGCTACCCTGGCAACTTTTCCGCTATCATAATTGGATATCCACATCTGCAATGCCTGTTTCCTGGGAAAATCTGGTCATAGGCTATCCTTTTCTGTCTGTGCACTTGTCCTTGGCTGACTCTTTCTTGATCAAACGAAGTCCTCTTTTCTAGGATCAAAACCTGTTTTTATTCAATTTCTTTCTGAATATGATTGCTTGGTTTCTTGTCTCTGTCACTCAGTTTCGGATTTTCTTTATTTTCTGAACTTCTGGTGTTGGTGCCTTGCACAGCTGACGTTTGGCTTTACTGGTGTTCTGCCCCCTTCAATTTTCACTCCTTTAGAAGGAGAATTTTGCTCTTTTTTGGCAGTTTCTTCTGTAGTTCCGTTTCCTCTTTGTTGGTGTTAGCTCTCAACTGCAATAAAGCTTCAAGATTTACTTTTAGTGTCTTTTGTTGATTTTTTTTTTCTTTTATTAGTATTATAGTGTTGAAATCAATTGTTCTTATATTATTTAATTTTATTTATTTAAATGGTGTTTGGAAATAACTTTTTTTTCTTGTTTTATGTACTTTTCTTTGCTGGGACTGCAGTCAGGCTCTGGTTATAGTTAGGTTTTCTATGTGCTTTTTTGTTGTAAAATTTGTTGTCTTGAACTCCTGAAGCTGATACTTCATGAACAAATGCATACAGCTTAAGGTAGAAAAAACTTTAAAAAAAAGTATAACCAAAAAAAAAAAAATACGACCATGCCATCTTACTTTGACATTAATGGTCCTAAATTTCTTTTGTTATCTTACCTAGAAAACTACCATGAATAAATTTTTTTACTGGATGTAGGATCATGTGGTATATGATCTGGAATTTGATTGATAAATGCTATGTAGAGGGGTCATATAGTGGATGCATTTTGTATATGGAAGCAATTCCTTTTGTGAACCTCGCTAAATATTATAAATAGTTTTATGATTTATCCATACTTATCTTGATAAAACTTGGTGATGGATTAAAGCCTCTCTCTATTTTTTGATTTGGTAGGTTTCGAACAAATTGTACCAACTCAATTATGTATCTGAAACAATTGAGCAATATGCTAAGAACATGTTGCTTTCAGCTGTGGACTGTACAACAGATGCTGATGCATCCGAATCTATTTCGGTGAGAAGAGAAGTAGAATTTTGTTATATTGTTTTATTATAATTTTGTTAATAATCATAGTTAAGATGCAAAACTGAACCCTTTCTTGTGCTTTCATCTTATCCATCTATACACCCCCCACATCTAAAAAATGAACTTGATGAGGTATATCCAGTAGTAGGATGCCAAGAACATTCACTTCTAGTTTATGATATATGCATGTCATACATGCTAAAGCATGTGTAAACATACCTGTAGGATGCAATGTGTAGGAATTTTTAGGAAATAGTAATGATTCTATTATCTAGATCTTTGTGAAGAATTTCCATCATCACTATACAATTAATTTAGTGTCAAAGCACTGAAGGAAAGAGTGGAGACACTGGGGTGGAAACATACCAATAATCTTAGAAGTCCTTTTTCCAAGGGTAACTTGCCAAACTGAAAAATCTTTTGTAATAAGATATTTATGTTGATCGCAGAACTATCTACTGGTTTTAGGACCATATACTTCTGGGAAAGCATATTGTTGAAACTTGAAAGAATTTCTTTCTAAGACGGAGATTGAGTACCTCAAAGAAGATCTTAATATCATATAATACATATTTCAAATTGCTTTTGCTGGAAGTCCTCTCTCTTAGCAAAGGACAACTATGATAAAGGCTTTAGAGCTGGATTTTTGAGTTTATTTTTGTTCTCTCAGTCCCACTTACCTTAATCTTTGTTTTGTGAGAGAAATAATGAGAGTGTTATATTTCATGTAGTGTTTGAAACTAAGAATCTTTATTATTATTATTATTATTATTATTATTATTATTATTGTTATTATTATTATTATTATTATTATTATTATTATTATTATTATTATTATTATTATTATTATTATTATTATTATTGTTATTGTTATTGTTATTATTTTTTTTTTTCTTTTTTTTTTGTTTCTTTTTTTGTTATTAAGTGAGAATAGAATGAAGTTCAAAAAACTTGGAATTTACAACCTAAAGCCTCATTAACAAGGCTGAGACAAAACTTCTATGTAACCAGAAATAAGAAACAAAAGCAACTCAAATTTTAGCTCTTAAAATAGCAATCTAACCAGTCATATTGCTTCCATTTTCTGTTAGCAAGGTCCATAGCCCTGCTACACACCTCCTGCTTCACTCTCTTATAGACAACTTTCCTTAGCCAAACATCTTTCCACTTTGCATCTACAAATGATAGACTGGAGCTGCTAAGGCACACAAAGCCACCATCTGCTGCACTTGTCTTTTGAAATTCCTCTTCCATTTCCTCCAGCAGGTAAAAATGACATCAGAATCACCAGCCCTGATTCTATGAATGAAATCTAAGATTTATGACCAACAACATTGTTGTCACTTTTGAGTGTATTCATGAAGCATGCCATGGATCATTGCAACCTCTTTCCTTTTGTAAAAGTACCTCTATTCTAGATGCCTTCATAATAAGGTGTAATGTTATAATTGGGGTTGGATATATATAATCCTTAACTTTTAGTTGAATTTCCTCCTACTATATCTAGTTATTATTTTAAGCTCTGGTAAACTTGTCATATCTTCTTACAGGCAGGAGTTGTTGAAGAAACTTCTATCAGTGGTCCCCAAATAATAGATTCTGGTATATCCCATGCTGATTCTCAGGCTGGTGCTAGCATGTCATTTCCTGAAGCTCAACGTCTAGTATCTTTGTATTTTTCCCTTTGTACAAAGGTTAGTTTAAGTCCTTACATCTAAGAGCTCTAAAACTCCGCCTTCGTTATAATGATCTTGGTTTGCAATTCACAGAAACCTGGTCTCCTTCAGCTTGTGTTTGATGTCTATGCACGAGCTGGTAAAATTGTGAAGCAGGTATCACTCTTAAATATTTCTTTGATCACTATCTGCTATGTGTGCATAGTATGCTTATGTCAGTTTTTTTTTAATAATTCATTTGCTTTTATTACGATGATTTAGGCTATTCATCGCCACATTCCTATTTTATTGAGGGCTCTTGGGTCATCGTATTCTCAACTGCTCCGCATTATATCTGACCCACCAATGGGAAGTGAGAACTTGTTGATGCTGGTTGGTTCTATACCATATCCTTCCTTTCTTGCCTTCTACTGCCATTTCCTGGATGAGACCTGTAGTCGTCTAAATTTCCTTTCCCTTCAATATTTAGTATTTTTTTACTAATAAATCTGTTTTTATCTTGCTCCATTGGTGTAATCAGGTGCTCCAAATATTAGCTGAACAAACCACTCCTCCACCTGATCTTATTTCTACCGTCAAACATCTATATGAAACTAAACTGAAGGTTCCTTTTTTGCGTAACATTTCTTTTTGAATTTGTAACAAGCTATTAGGGTCTGTACTTATTTTTCATCAATATTCTACTTCTGTAGGATGCTACTATCCTCATTCCAATGCTTTCTTCTCTTTCCAAAAATGAGGTGCTTTTACTATCTCTTCCCTTAGTTCAATCATCAAATTTACTGTAAATGGTTTATTTACTATCAATGAATGTTCTGGTCTTTATTATATGTTGAGTTTATGCCTTGGTTATGTATATTTCTGGATCACAATTGTTTTTGTTTTTGGTCTCAGGTTTTGCCTATATTCCCTCGGCTTGTTGACCTTCCTCTAGATAAATTTCAGCAGGCACTGGCTCACATATTACAGGTGCGTGATCTTTATATCGCTATGTTCTATCATCTATTTGGGTTCAATCCAGCTCAAAGAACTGTGGGATAGAATTACCTTGAAAGACAGTGGCCTTTTAATTGCCTTTTATCTCATTCATCACTGGAATTTTCCTGCAAGCATACATATTCTATAATTCTTCAGTAATAGGACTCTTGGCAATAATGCTGCTGTTGTTTGGAAAAAGCTTTTTATTTTTATTATTAATTAAGTCGTAGATGTTACAATTTAACTGTTGCCTTCTTTTATGGGTTCTTGTATCTTGCATCCCTCTCCAGCTCATCTGCTAATATTAAATTGGCCGCATGTCCAGGGTTCAGCTCATACTGGTCCAGCATTAACACCTGCTGAGGTTTTGGTTGCTATCCATGACATTGTGCCAGAGAAGGAAAAAATTGCACTTAAAAAGGTCTGTTTTGCATTGTGACAAATTTAGTTTGTGTGTGTTGAAGTCGTTTTATAGACTACTTCTCCGATTCTTTATTTGTCTTAAAGTTTAATAAATTTGCTGGCCTAAATTGCTATTCAGTGCATTCTTTTTTTTTTTTTTATTGAGTGTTTACCTTTTATTATTTATTTATTATTATTATTATTTTTTTCTGATATATAATAGTTTTATGCTAATGTGCGGTGCCTTTGTTTGAGGGTGAATAAGACAATTGATGTTCTTTATAAAGCTACTTACGATCCTAAATGAATCCAGTATTATACCTTGTTAATTTGGTTGTCAAACTGTTCATCAAATTCTGTTCACATAACATCCATTAATGTTTAGAGTCTTGGTTGTATGCTAGATGCTTCTGCTGCCTGGTATTCAAATTCTTTCTTTAACATGCCTAAGTTTTCTAATGGTAAACCTTGTGCACTTTGTACTGGCTAGTGAAAGTCATTGCTTTCGATAATCTCCTCTTTTTTCTGTATTGTCATACCTTTTGTTATTGAGTAATGATTCTTGCAACTTTGCTTAACTTCTATTTTTTCCATTTTCAGGTAACAGATGCTTGCACGGCTTGTTTTGAGCAACGTACTGTGTTCACTCAACATGTATTGGCAAAGGCTTTAAACCAGATGGTTTGTATTATTACTTTTAGCAGTATTATATCTGGCTCTTCATCTCATGCAAAAAGATATTAATTTGTCTACTTTTCCAGGTTGATCGAACTCCACTTCCTCTACTTTTTATGAGAACTGTAATCCAAGCAATTGATGCTTTCCCTACTCTGGTAAGGTCCTCCTACTTAACAATGGTGCAATATTGAATTTGTTGACTCTAGGAAATGGGATACTTTGGTACTTTTCAACCATGGATCTTATCAGTTTATGTTATAATTTATAAGAATCCAAAACTTCTGTAATTGAAGTGGAAATGAGAGAGCTATTTGGAATTTTGTTGTCTTTTATCTGAGTGTATCTTCTGACACCTATGTTCTTTAGCTGTTTTTATTTTTAATTACCATCATCTGAATAATATCAGAAATGGTTTATCTCAACATCCTTGTTTCATTTTGGTCCTGTAAAAGAAATATTTTAATGATGATCTGTGTATACTAGAAGGCTGACGTATGTCTAATCATCTTGTGTGTGGTCAAGAGAAGAGATTAGGGGAAAATAAAAATTAAGAAATAACAAATAAAGGAATTAGAAAATGGGATAAAGAAAGCATGCTTGAGTTAAAATCATAGGCATGGAGTTGGGGAAATAATTTTTTTAGGAGCCAAAAAAAAAAAAAAAAAAAAAAAAAATTTGCGTAGCATGGCTATACAAAGTATAATTATATATCCTTTTTTGCTTTAATATGAAAGTTTTGGAACAATACCCAAATGTGTAAACTAGTTTTAGACTACTAATTTACATACTCGAGAAGATGACCAATATGTAATAATATTTGGTCAATGTAGGATAGTGTGATTTATGTTGCTCAGTCCCTTCATTTAACTCAAGTACACATGTCGGATCCTCGACACTCGGACATGGCTAGGACACTTAGACACTTTATTTTAGTTTAAAATTATGTAAAATTTTCACAGAATAGCAAAGTCCGACACTTGGACACGTAGCCGTGTTGGACATGGGAGAATGATAAACAATATTTCTTGGCGATGCACTGCTAATGTACCTTGAGATAAGTTGCAATATATCTTGAACAAATCCACGACCAATTCATTTTATGGTGATTAATAATTGTACTCTTAAGGCCTGTTTAGTAGCCGGTAATAAATGGTGGTAATGGAAATGAATTTAAGTGTAATTTAGTATGGAAACAACTTATAATTCATGGAACCCATTTTCATCCCCAAAGCATGATTTTCTTCATATTTCCATTACCATCCATTACCACTCAAGAGGTGGTATTAGGTAGGAATGGATATCTAGAAGGAAAATGTACAAAATTTAGGGTCATCTTGAGTTATCATGGGAATGAACATGAATTTCTTTCCAAATTTATATGTAAATTCATTCCCATTACCATTGTTTATAACCGGTTACCAAACGGGGCGTTAAGGTTCTTGGGTCTAATTGATGCATCCTTTCAGCCTAAGTTAAATTAACTCTGGCAAGTCGCATTATTAGTATACAAGAGTTTGATTACATTTCTCATGCATACCTTTGGACCTTGGTCCATAGGTTAAAGTAGTTTTGTCCTCTGTCAAACAGCAAAAATTAAAAATAAAAAGAAAAAAGAAATCTTAATTAATTTCTATGCTGTGATTTAGTATGCTGTCTTGGTATGAACTACAGACAGGTTTGAAGGAAATTACTGTTTGTAAGCTATGACTAGTACACTGAATCTAAACTCTCTTAAGTGCATAGGACTTTGATGAGTTAGGCTAGATTGCCAGTCTGGTGACTCCTCACTTGAGGCTTAAGTGGTTCCAAGTCAAAATTGGAATGTACATGACTGGTATTTAGTGAAAATAATCTACTGAAAACATGTAGTTTTTGCATGGCTGCCATTCTGTGTTTGTTAATAATGTACTGAAAATGTGTGTATTTGCAACCTCATTGGCAAAGTATAGAAGGGCATAAGTGAGTGCTAGAGCAGATTACACTTTGGCATGATTATCATAATTCTATTTTACAAATTCTATAATACATTGATGTTACAATCGTTATGCATATTGATATATATTGTAGAGATGGATCCAATAGCTTAATCAAATTACACTTCTGTATTCAGGTTGAATTTGTCATGGAGGTTCTCTCCAAACTCGTCAATAGACAGGTGATCTTAGGTACAAATATTTTGCGTTTCTTGCCTAGTATCTTGTATAGGACTAATTTATGATGCCACCTTGTAGATCTGGAGAATGCCAAAGCTCTGGGTAGGTTTCTTAAAATGTGTGTCTCAGACGCAGCCACATTCATTCCAAGTACTATTAAAGGTAAACCAAAGAATCTGCCTGTATAAGTATAATTGGTTTCAAGTAATATGGTGCTATCTTAACTTACTTTTTGCAAGGTTATACTCATGTTTTTTCTTGTTGTACCATTTTGACTTGCACATTTGTCACCTCGCAACTTTGACCATAACTATTTTAATTATTCTTTGAGTATAGATAGTAAAAAAAGTTTATATTTGGAAAACTTACATTGAAATAAATCCAATTAATATTTCACATGATAATATATGATTCTGTATGTCAAAGTGGAACAACTAATAAAATGTATAGAATTATTTTTAATATCTTTTTGTTCCTTGCAGTTACCTGCACCCCAGCTTGAAAACGCCCTCAACAAATACAGTAACCTCAGAGGTCCCCTTGCTTCATATTCCAGTCAGCCAAGCATCAAATCTTCTCTACCAAGGTATTAAATTCTTGAACCATCAATCCACTTGTTAGTGAGCTTGATGTGATTGCGGTCTCACAAGCAAGCATGTAGCAATATATGTTGTTTCATGACTATCAGTGGTGCGAACTTAGTGATTATTGGATATTAAATGTATGTGAACTTAATTTGAGAATTTGTTTTATGAAGGATTTCGGAAAATGTAAGGTCTGTATAGTATGATAGGCTGCAGTGCTCTTGTTTATGCTCTCATAATATCAAATCTGCTGTAATATGTAAATATTCTTCTTTGGCAGTTCAACCCTTGCTGTTCTTGGTCTTGCAAGTGAAACACATCCAACTCAGCCACATCTTTCAACTCCCTTGCATACCTCTGATTCAAGCTCTGTTCGTGGGGCAACATCAACGTGATAACCCGAATGACATTGGTTTCAAAATATATACAACCGCGCTATAACATTTTTCTCCGAGGATGGTCCCCAACTTCCCAGATTCACTAGGAAGTCGCCTGGAATGGAAACACAGAACTGTGTTCCACTTGAATGCTCCCACTTCATAAATATGCCTTTGGGCGGGAGCTACGAAGGCATCTGCACTAAGTTAATGCCAAAAACTCAGTGATATTGAAGAAGATTCCAGGCAGAGCAATGAAGAGATAAATGATCAGTTTTTTGCTTTGAGTTAACAACCTGCTATAACTGCAGGTTATGTATAATATCTGTATATTTGTATTTTAATTAGTCTTGCTCCCTCTAATTAGAAATAGAATTACCATTCCATGTCAATTTTGGTATTGGTTTTTGCCTCAATTGGGCATTTTTAATAAAAATAATCACTATGTTACATCCCAACCCTCCCTGTTGATGCAAATATTCTCCCAATCTGGCGAGGTTAATGATTGCGTGTCAGTTGCTGTGGGGTGAGGAGGGGTTCTCTGTAAAATTACCGTGTAGAATTTTAATGTAAAACTAACAAAATTTGTCAGCTGTTGTGGTGTTTACATAGTTTATTTCAAAGTACTTTTTGGAAAATAGATAGTCTAGTAAAAAAACCAAGCATCTCAGAATGACACATGAGACACGAGTTGAAAAAACCATCAAATTCACATGAGATAGTCCACTAGTTTAAAAACCATCAAATTCACATCAGACATATAGTGCTAATTTTTAATTAGTGGGTGAGTAGCACGTAACCTAAAACCAGTTTTTAAATACCTGCTTATATTGGTTAATACATAATATTATACATTCATTTGGCTTATATGGGAAAAAAATATGTTCTAGGTGAAGTAAGAAACAAAAATATTTTCTTGTTAAAAACTTTACCGATAGTTGGATTTATTAATGAAGAGATAAAATAGAAAGTGAGTAGTATAATAAAAACTTTTTGATTTTTACAGACAAGCTCACAAAATGTGAACTTCTCTTAGATAGCAAAAATTATGAAATATAATAGTATACATTGTTATACTACATGTAAATTATTTTACTTTGTAAAATTCAAGTAAACTTTCATCTATTTGTATTTTGCTCAACAATTATCAAATTTTGTCCACATTATTTGTAGAAGTTTTTTTTTTTTTTTTTTTTTTTTTTTTTTTTTTTTTTTAAATATAATATTAAAATAGTAGTATATAGTTAAAATTACTTATGCATGAAACTTATTTGATGTCTTAAATTCAATGGCACAAAAATTATTTGAGGATTTATTTTATGGGGTAAAAACTTATTTGTCATTCTTAATCTTTGAACATTTGACTCAATTTAAAACTTGTTAATCCTTTGTTGAAATAGGACAATTTTGAACTAGATAAAATACCATTCTCAATCTTTGAACACTCCAAAAAGGTTTAGTAATGGTCAATTGATATACTTAATATTTGTAAAAAAAACAAATATTAAAAACATTTTTTTAAAAAATAACTAATTTAAATTGAATTATTAATATAAAAGATACGATAGCAAAATTTGTAAAAATCTGTAAATGTAAAACACACATATTTGTATGTGAATATATGTACAATATATAATATATAATGTATAATATACTTATATATATATATATAAATATATATATATATATATATATATATTGGTGAAATTAGTATATAATATATAACATAATAGAAAATTTGTTTTTAGGATTTTTTTATTCATTTAATTATGGTTAAAAACTAGTTTAAATTGATTTGAACCCACTTGTTGAAAAATTTTATTCTGCCACTTTTGCGAGAGGTGCATCATCTTTTGTTGCCAAACCGCCACTCTCGGCATAGTGTACATCTTTATTGTGTTTCTAGAAAACCCTAATGAAATATGTGTCTTCCAAGAAATCATCGTCTGGAATCCATGTTCTTATAAAAAAAATCATTCTTGTAAATGATAAACGACCCCATATTAACCTGAGACATAGTTTCAAAAGCCCTCTTCAAGTGCTAACATAGTGTGACTAAGGTGAATTGAGGAGGTTTCATCATATATTAGAGTGTCAAAAACCAATACTATTTTTAAAGCAATAAAAAATGTCACAGGATTATGTGCAAGTACTAAAACAATCTCTAGATGAATCAAATCCACGTTGAATGAGTACTCTTTCATGATAGTGGAGGGTTGAGGTCTAAAGTCTGTAAAAATAGTAAATTGACTGACATAAACTGAAACTTTGCGTCTCTTAAATCCGAACTCCTATGGCTAAAGGGGTTAAAGATGACTAATCGGGAAAATGTATTTTGCGTACCCCTTAAAATTTCTATCTCTTGAATGACACTACTTCACTTTCACAAGAACCATTGGCGAATATATCAATCGAGGTTGTCAAAGACCTAAAAGAATATTTGTTTGTCATGAATACACGATCCCCAACTGTGGTGTTTGTGGATGATCCAGTCTACCAAAATATTATCTCCTAATGCACTATACAAAATGCAAATTATAGATACTTACCCCACCTATTATTGTAGGATTTTCCTGTAAATACATTATATATACAGATAGGTTAGATTCATACTATATCAATCAACAAAATACAGACAACTTTGCTATACAATTGAATTTTTTTTTACAAAAAAAAAACTAAAATGAATGTCTTCAAAAATGAATTTCCAGAAACTCAAATCAGGTATTTTACATATTTACTCTCATTAATAAGCAAATTAGCAACCAAGATCTATTTAATTATCAAATATAATTTTTTTCCGATCAAGAATGAACACCAAAATTCTGGCTTTGGTATAAAGACTATAAACTTTATTAATTAATATAACAAATTAATGATACTACAAAGATAAAATTCTAGGAAGATAAACTGATAAATTAAAGAGTAGAGAATAGAATGGCTTGTTTATTATTCATCAATAGGTAGAGTATTTATACAAAACCTATGAACATAAGATAGGAAACAATATTTCTAAAAGATACACCATATATCTTAATGATATATTCTCTAAATAATATCTTAACATAAGATGATACTAAATATATTATTCTCATAATAATATCTATACGGAAAATATATCACATATATTTTTCAATATATCATATCTCTAACAACCTCTCGTTGAAGGAAAATTATAGGCCTCATACCATGTAAAATGATAAACTTTATCTTGATTTCATTAGCTTCATGAGCACAATATTTATAATAATACAAAACCAATTAGTTTCCTAAGCCCACACCAAAACGTGTATGACAGCTAATGTAGACACCTAAAAATGTCTCCCCAAAACCAAACCCGATGATGAAAAACATTTCACCGCCATTATTGGTAGGATTTAGTATTTAATCTTTGGAGTGCTAAAATCCATTTTATATCCAATACATTTCATAAACCAATCCATTTCCTAGCTCATTTCCCAACGCCATAACTTATTTTCTTCTTTTCGTGTCCACATCGCAAAACCAAGAGAAGATGATTTTTTTTGCCTTAAAATTTTGATCCAATTTTTATTTGATTAGATAGGCTTTTTTAATAAGATTTCCAAAAATATATCATAAGCCCAAATCCGAGTTATAACGAAGAAAATATGAGCAAAACACTAAACTAGGCCCAAAACTGACACCCTTCTACTAAAACAGCCATATCTTAAAATATACAATTGATTTTGACCTGATTATAATTGAGTTCGAAATAAGACTTGATAATCTTTCCAATGATATATTATATGCCTTATTCCGAGTTACGGATCAAAAGTTATGATAATTTCAAAAACGCATAAAAAAACTAGAATTGTCGCGCAGTAGCGAAATTGCCGTGACGTGACAATATTTGACGTGGCACGGCATATAGTACCGTGTCACGGCAATTTGTAACGTGTCGCGGTACATATACCGTGACACGATGATTTTACCGTGTCTTTCCGCATTTTCACGCGTGCTTATTTTACCGTGACACGTTAGACTGTACCGTGCTACGGTGGACTTTACCGACATACCATGACACAGGATTTTTTCTTGTTTTCTCCGCGTAAACCCTTCACGCGTTTTACTCCCGTAGGTCAAATATTTCCCGCGTCACTCTAGAGTATGCTGTATCACACAAGAGTTTCCCGTGTCACTGCACTTTTTGCCGTGTCGCAGCAACCTTTTTTAGGGTTTTATCTTTTTAGGGTTCTGTGTGTTCCCTCTACTCATTTTCCCTATAAATAGGACCCTCCTTTCTGCAGTTTGGGGCATCGAATCCTTCTCTCTTTCTCTCTTTTACACCAAAATCATTCTCTTCTCTCTCTCACATATTCTAAGCCTTAAACCTATATTCTTAATTACACCATTCTTCCCTTAAACACTCTAAGGAGTACATACTTAACCTTAGGTTCCGTCCTTAAACCAAGATGTGAAAGGTATAATTAACTGAGGGTTTGGACCAAATCAAATCTACATTTATTTAATTTAATTTTCATTTGATTAATATTTTTTTTTTATTGAAGTTACTAACAATTTATTGATGATGTCGCAATTTTAAGGAACGCGCGGAATGTGAGTAATTAACTAATTTAAATACTCTTATTTTATTTTAATATTGCTAGTATCATGATTAGGTTTATTTATATTTGATTTCACTAACGCTATTATTGTTAAATTGCTTTCAATATTAATGTTTATTCTATTATTATTTATGATCACCATATTTCATGTTTAAAGGGAATATGTAATTGAAAATCATGCCTTATAATATAATTTAGACGAACGGTTTAGGTTCCTTTTTAATCTTGTTATTAAATCAAGTGATTAATAATACTTTAGAATTATATGTTGCATTAATATTCAACCAATTTAGCCTAATAATAGTTTGGAGCAAATTCAATCTTTCTTTGCATGCCTTTGAGATTGCAGGAATCACTTTTCACTATAAGAATCGATTAGAGGCCAATACGGGCGAATGTGACTCCATGACTCACTTCGTACCATCATCCCCGATTCTCCTTTCGTGGTTCCAAACCATATGGAGTTAGTAATCTTATGGATTATGAATGGGGTGTAACCTTCACGGGTCAATCGTTGTTGCCTATCGTTGTCCCCTATCGTGGTTACCTTTTTATGATCCGTGAACGGTTTACAAGTTCCTTAAAACTTGTTGGCGTCTCCCTACTTTCCTTGTCCCTAATCGTTGTCCCTAATCGTATATGTCAATTCCCACTTCCTAAAAGTGTTAAGCATATTCACACATGCTTTAACTTAGGTGCACTTCAAACGACGCCTATAATTTGGCGACTCCACTGGGGAGGATTCTTGGTTATTTATTGAAGTGAGTGATCGATATTTAATTAAGATGAGTGGATGAGACTTGAAAGATTCTTGAAAATATTCCTGTGATTAAATTGGCATTTTTACATATGCATAGACGTTTTAACGTTGTATTTCAGGTCTGTCCCGTAGAAAAAATTGGATAACCGGGTCGTGAATGAAGAAAATAGGGGCACCAATCAGATTTCCTGACTGTCGCACCACGACAGAGCTTTCCGTGTCACGGTGCAGGGCACCAAGACGCG